ATTGTGAAGATATATATTTAATTAATTATTCTTGTCTATTAAATTGTGATTAGACGGACAAGAATAATTAATTAAATACTTTCAATGTAATTCTGCGTATATCAAATGTGTTTAATCAGTAATAAGTTTATAATGACATAAGAGGATTAAATACTTAATAGTAGTTTATTTGACGACAATACCTCAGATTTTGCGTAGAACTTCAAAATTAGTGAATGGTGATTCTGAAACGTTGTAAAAGAACTGTCTTACTATTTTCCGTTCAGAGGCTTTAAACCCAGGAACTTCTGAATACGAAGCTGATACGTGATGTGGAAAGTAAGACATCATGGAGTATAAGGTACGTGGACGGAAGTGAAACCTACGTATCATTACCTCGGAAGTTGTGGCTGCGAGATCTTTCTTCAAGATGCGATCATCACGCGCACTGAAAATTAGTCAACTGGGGTCTACATAGAGATGCTCACGGCACAGTTGTAGAGAGAAAAATTCCGAAATCTCTTTATAGGCTTCAGCTATCACATAATCTACCATATAATATGCTTTTCAATCAGAGATGAATGAGCAAGTATATTTAGACATTTTGACAACAAATATTTGTAGACTTCGCAAAATATTTCAGTCAACGAAAATTTCGAATATTAGGAAAACATAATATGTAATAAACCAACACCAAAGAGACATACTTTTTCACAAGGTGGCAGTTGCTCAGATTACAAAGAAAATATCTACCTTCTATGGTAGACACATGTTCATTACAGTGTTCACAAAAGACTGAAACTGGTTTTAATGCTCAACTAAATTAATTCAGTCCGCAGCCTTACATAATATTGTTCTAAGGTTCATTATAATATCATTTTGCATAAAATCTTTACTCTATGGACATGAGCTACATATCACTTGACTTGATCCCTGTAGTTATAACTTATTTTTATGACTGAAAATTATGAAGCTACTAATTTCTGATAATCCCTCTACATTTCATGTCAAAATATTGTCTTCAGAGACTTTAATCTATATATGAGACAAATCCTCACTCGTCTGTATAACAATACATAGATCTTAGTGTTAAAACTTTAGTAATATCCTTCAATATTCTCTTTTTTTAAATCCTTATTATGAAGTCTAATACATGTAAGGAAATGTTTGAGTCATTCTCATTTTAACTGATATGAAAGTTACGAAACCATACGTTTTGATATTTTCATTTCTTTTACTGTTATAATGATTATTTAGAATTCTGTACATGAACTTAATTCATTCTTGCTCTAGTCCAGTTAACTTTCATCATTACCAGCGCGGTTACGTCAGACATCCTAAATTCGTGTAGTCATGTCCTGACTGTTCTCTTACTGATCGATTCCGTTCGATATAATGTACACGTGTTAAGGGCTGTCAAAGCATTTTTCTTTAACAACAGCCGAAATGTGTTACTTCCTAACAGAACTGTGTAGCATTTTTCTTTAACAACAGCCGAAATATGTTACTTCCTAACAGAACTCTGCTCCTCCTGTTCTGAGCTATGTTCTACTGAGAAGAAGTGATCATATTTGGAACTGTAGCAAACAATTTAGAAATATTCAGTTTCCTTTCAAAAACCAAACATTTCATTACGAACACTAAAACTGGCGTTTTCTCTGAAATGATAATGTATTTCTAACCTTCATTTTTTACAAAGCAAAATTCTCTTGTCCTTATGTCTAAGATTCTGGTTGCTTCCTTTAATAAAAACTGACGGATTTTTATGAAATTTGAGATCACCTTAAGACGACTTAATCTTTAATTTTGTGATTCCTTAGCATCCATAGTACCAGCATGGAAGATACGTCATCTTCTGGGAGTCTGGGTTGAATCAGAGCACGTGATGTGAAATCCGTCACCGTAATTGAGAAACTTAGATTGGCGGTGTTTCAGAACAGGATGCTGAGGGGAAATTTGGACTTAAGAGAAGGGAAATAACACGAAGAAGCCAAATATTACAGAGAGAGGAGCTCCATAATGTACAAATTTCTTCTAACACTATTGGGTTGAACAAATCAAAGAAAATTGAATGGACGCCAAACGTAGCACACGATGACTACATAAAAAACACGCACAGTATTTAGTCGAGAACTCTGGTAAAAAAAAAGAGACAACTTATGAGACGTAGAAGTAGATTTAAGTGTTCTGTTAAAATGGATCTTATAGAGAATCTGACGGTGTGGACAGAACTGATTTGGTTCATGAGGGGTTTATGCGAAAGTGGTCTTAAACACTCTGTTACGACACAGGTCTGGAAGTGTATAATCCGTAATAGTACACACAAACACACACGAGTTATTCGCAAATTCTGAATTATTAATAAAAATTGTGTCAAGTTATCTTACGTCGACATGTATGGTTTCCAATTTTGCAGAATACGTGATGTTAATTCATTTATTAAGTAGCATAAATTAATACCACTACATCATAAGGTGCGTTAGCTCTGTATTAGCCTAGCTACTGGTCTCGTACGCATGGGGTCGCAGGATAGAAAACTCATTAATACTATTTTTTTAATTTCACGTAGCCATCATATAATTATTTTACAGTATACAAAGAATTACTTGTCCAATGTTTCGTATTCTCGAATTATTAACAACCGTACATCAATTTGATGCAGTGCTGTCAATCCTATCTAACAAAGTTATTTGCCCACCATTTTGGTATAAATTACGATTTCAGGCTAATCCCCAATGACGTGATGTCCACACCAAATTTCATCTAGATTCGTCCGATACTCTATTTCAATCATTCGGACAGACAGTCACCAACCCTTTTGGCGTTCTTTGCATGCGCATTGTACAAAAAAACGCATCGAAGGGCGGGGAATTTAAGTTTTTAACAAGGACTGTGCTCAATGGAGATGCCACAGGAGTACTATAAAACACAACAGAACAGCTCATCACTATTCAAAGTGATTCCGCCCTCACCGGGACGTCACTCACTTTGAAACCACGCCCTGCCACTCCTGACTTCCTGCAGCCAGCAGTACAATCCTCCGCCTGCCACCAGTTCATCTCGACTTCATTATTTCAGTAATTGGTGCAGCAATATACCTCATTTCTGTGGGTTCCGTGTCTCAGCATGTTCAATTTTTGGATGTGCGAAACGCGAACTGTCCAATCCCTTTTTATTTATAACCTTTCTTCATTTCTCTGTAGACCGATGCATCATTGACACACGAGCGGGTGCTCCGGAGAAACATGAATAATGGCCAGTCAATACTTTGCCAACTGTCGGAACTCTATTCCATTGTGTGTCAGATAATCACAAGGACGTAACTCACGTCTGTAGAAATAAGTAAGATGTTTCACTTCACAAGCTTCTGCCTGATTTTATCGTAATATACAGAAAACGTCTGTGAAAAATGTAATATTCTCATTTTACACCCACTATTTCGAATTTGAAAGTCAGAAATAATCAATAATTTTATATTTAAAACAGGAATTCGGCCAAATTCTCTTAACTCATCATGCCATTTTCTTTCAGATTTCTCAGTGTATTTTGCTAGTTTGTACGCTGTGTGGTGAGTATATGAAGTTTCATGGTCTATTTTATCACGTAATTCCCGTATTTGAAATTAAGGACGCCTTAAGATTGTCCTATGTACCCTTAAATGTTAATATAGTCGCCTCATTTATATTAATAATTGTTAAAATATAAAGAATATTTTATGAAGAGTATATTTGTTGTTTAGCTCCATATAAAATTTCGTTGGTTCTTTGATAATCGCCTTCAAAGAAAGAGATAGTTAACTATAACATTCACTTTGTTTCACTTTGAAAAATGTGATACCAGAACGATACTCTAAGTGATGGTACTACGAATTCATAACTTATATCAGTATCATGTTATTATTATTAATATTAATATTATTATTGAATTGAATTACTATTTATAGAAAATTAAAACTTCACTAAGGTGAAGTGACCTCTCGCTAGATGCATGATATTACCGTGCTTCATAAAAGTTCGAAGATTGTTGTAAAATATATTGGTATATAGACAAACAAACATCGTAATGGGGAGTTGTCATAAACAAAAATCTAGTAAATTCAGTTTGACAGAATCAGGAGTCATATTTAGTACAGAATTACTATGAGTTAATTGCTACTAAACCATAAATTAGTACTCCGACTTTTATGATTGTCAGATATTTGATATTAAGTTAAAAAAATTACACTTGGATACTTATGGGGAGTCAACGTCGTAGCCTATTTTATTATAGCTTATTGGTTTGCTTGATACAATGAACGTAGATTGATTTTAACTTAACACATTCGAGTGGCGTCATTTGATAAATTCTTGCAATAAAATACACGATATTATTATGCATTGAGAAAAAGTTACATCGTCGTAATTTTTTTTAGAAATTTATATATGAAATATGTCTCAGCATATAAAAACATTAAGAGATTAATAGATTTTTTCATGCACATCGTTTTTAAAATGATTACTTTCAATTTTGGAACGGGAGACTGCAAAGTTTATTTCAATGTCCGAATCGCATGTTAATACTGAAAAATGCCAACAGAAACATTTATAAAACTCTTTTCCTGCATCTCGATTTATATATGTTGCATGTACAAATGATTGTTTCTTCAACCCTACGTCTTTATTTTAAAACAAATTATTTGTGGTTTATTAACGACGCTGTCAACAGGCCAGATTATATGGCGTAGAATGATTGTACGATCATATAATCGGTGAATAATGAATTGGAAAGGTAGCGGAATGTGACGGTTTTGGCTTAATTTAAGGTAAAATTCCAGGAGGTGCCTGAGCAAACTGAGAAAAATCAAATAAATTACCTACATATATTAATGAGACGGGGAGTTAAATCCGTAAATCTCCTTTCAAATACTGCAATACTGTAATGAAGCAATGCTGTTAATAATTTTAACAGCAAAATAAAGTATTTAGGTTTGTAACGTATTTCAGTCATGAATGCACACATTTTTTTGAATACAAAATATTTCATGCATGAAATATTATTTTATTTCGAGGTTATAATAAAAGGTACAATGTTCCTACCGATTAATCGACAAAAGAGAACAACGTAACCCCATCAAAATGGCCGCTGTCTTGTTATCGTGGGTTTGAATTCCACATCAATGTTTCTCCGCATTTTATATGTCGTGTGGTAGACGCTTTGCAAGATGCTGAGGTGAGTTCCCATCCAAGGTGTTCTTCAAAATCTCTGAAAATATTTACAATTTCAGAAGTTTATTTTTCTGAATTGTAACAATCCAGGGAGCCTACTAATGCTAATTACGTCTGCTTCTCTCAGTCGGAATCTTTCACTGGTGTTTTTCTCCCAAATATTTGTATGTATTTTCTCGTTCTTTTCCACGTGCATCTATCATTTTCCTGTTTCATTCAATTTGATTTAATGCCCCTAATAATATTAGGTGACGCTTTTAAATTACGAAAATATTAATTCACCACAGCTTGTTTTTTTAGAAAATCGCATTCCATCGAATTCCATTTGCCCTGTTGAAATTAAAATACTTTATAATAAGAAAAATATACTTTAACCAAGGAAATGTTTCATGGAGGATTGTTACATTGACAACCGCTGATGACAGAAAACAAATTTTTGCCAATAACACTGTTAGAAGCATTTTTTATAAATTACATTTTACCACAAATAGCGTAACAAGTTTTCTACAATATTATTTATGTGCGGTCTTTGGGACACAAGTACATTTGGCTTGGGGTCCCTAATTCCTACCAGTTCGTGGACATGCCAATTTATACTCGTTTTCCGTGTCACGCTTTGCTTCCGAGCCAATGCCTCGTCTGAGGTGTCCTACAAACACACGAATGGTTCAAGTGTGACCCGGAATTTTGGTAATAACACAATTAAATTTAAGCTTTAAGATCTGCAGGGGTTCTATTGTTCAGGTTTAACGATTCCTGAATTAACGATGTACATACAAGAAAAAGAGTTACAACCGACGTCTATTTATAACCGTGAATAAGGTGTGCCTGGAGGTTGGTTGCGCTGTGCAACCCGCTTGACAGATGACGTAACATGCTACGAATCGCTTCACCGTGAAAGAAATACAGGCTCACATTACAAGGCACAGGCAGGTATGATGTTCACACCAATAACCCCACAAGCAGCTAGAAACAAAGGAATGACCATGCAGACATCAATATGCTGAGAGCTGTGGCTACAATCGATAAACAAAGAATTCTCTTGTAGTCGCCAATATTGAACTCAATAATAGCGTACAGATTGAAGATGGCTGTCCTCTGTGTCGTGGCGCCGTGTAGCGAAAATCTGATCTCATCGACCTGGTGATGGAGATAGCAAGCACCTCTGAAACGTTGGTAAACTTCTACCACATCACACGACACTACAACCCACAAGACAGCCATCTTCAGATTCACCGCAGTGAAAACTTCAAATACATTGTTCTTGAAAACTTGATAGTTACTTAACTTGTAGATGAATTTGTTCCCTTTATGGATCCCGAATAATCATCACCATATATTTATTTTGTACAGTCTATACACAACCGTTTGAAGTTTATTGGTGTTGTAAAAATTATATAATATTAAAACATTTTGTTGTGTAAAATATTATATTAGCGCTCTTAATCGTAAATACGATTTTACATTATATTTTTTAGCGCTTTTATTAAAACGACATGTTTCGACGGGTAATACCGTCGTCTTCAGGTTTTTATCAATTTAAAATATTCTAAAACTATTAGATATTTAAATATAAATATTTTAAATTGATAAAAACCTGAAGCCGACGGTATTACCCGTCGAAACATGTCGTTTTAATAAAAGCGCTAAAAAATATAATGTAAAATCGTATTTACGATTAAGAGCGCTAATATAATATTTTACACAACAAAATGTTTTAATATTATATAATTTTTACAACACCAATAAACTTCAAACTTTTGTGTATAGACTGTACAAAATAAATATATTTAAACTTTAACTACTTAATGAATGAACTCAATTAAATATAATAATTTTATTTTAAATAATTATCATTCTATTCAAAACCTTATTTCGCCAAGCTGTCGACGCACTTGTAGAGAACCAATGTAATAGATGAAGACTCATTATACTACAATTCAATGTTGTTAAGAAAAACGTGACCTAAAGTTCTAGAATAATTATTTTCATAAAGTTCTCTCAGTCCCAATAGGAAAATGTCAAGGCATTAGCTACATAATTAATAATCACTAAAACTATTCATAACAAATGACTGTTTATTTCGTGAAACATTCTACTTCCACAGACAAGGCTCTTATTACTGTAGTAGAGGTTTCTAGCACAGAGGTTAACCGGGCAACTCCATGGAAATGAGTTCATCTTGATAAACTGATAGCTGCGAACGTCTTCAATACTTGTTTTTGTTTTATATAATGCGAACGTGTATTGCCCTGTTCACAAGAGCACGCCACTGAACCCAGTACATTTTACACAAAACATATTTTTTTAAAAAAATAATTTTAATATTATCCTCCCGCTCATATTTAGCTTATCGCGCATACTACATGTACAGCCACTCTGTCACTTTAATTGATCAACATAATGTTTGGCGAAAAGTACAAATTACAGAGTTTCTCATTATGCAGTGACCTTGTTCCAGATATTCTTCTCAGCATCGTACCGAACATCGAGAGGTTAGTACCCCTTCGTATTTCGGAGGTACTGGATTCAAACCTCAACCCGGACACCAGTGATCTTGATTGTGGTTTCTTGTAATTTTCCTTTGTCCCTCCAGTCAAATTCCAGACTAGTTTCTCGAGTCAGGCCACGACCATTTCCTTTCATATACGTTTTACTATCTTCTTTATGTATCGTTCTGTTCGACGTTAGTCTGAGCTACTAACATCGTTGTTAAATAAGCATGAATAAATAAGAATTCTCACCATCCTGTTTTAAAGGGCCTTCAATTTTGTGCAGTTTGTGATTCTGGTGGGCACAGATTTAATCTTCATTTATTTAAGTACGTTTCCTCAACTGCGGAAATTATTTCTTCGGTGCTCGATAAGAAGGGCTTAAGTCAAAATGAATTCATGTTGACTTCAGCATTTCTTACCGAGTACGCAAAATAAGCTATTGAATGATACGTATAAATGCCAGAACTGCTTGGTTTTTTGAGTTCGCAACGGCTGTGAAGCATCGGCCTTGATCTGTTTAAAGGACTGTTGTATTTTTTTTGCGAGTTTTTCATTCTGCAACAAAAATAACCACACTTCAATCATCACTCTGTATGGCTCAATGACATATTCTACGTTTTCCTTAAATGTTAGCCACCTTCTATGAAAACGTATTACAGATTAAAGCGATAGACCTTTACAAGATTTGTGTCTTAAGTTGCTAAAAGGCATAAATGTTTTGTACAATTAATCGTTTCTTAGGAAAAGAGAAAAAGTTTTATAAATCAAATCCACGAAATTTAGGAATAATATTAAACAATATTAACCAAAATTAAAATTAGGCTGACACTTTACAGACTAAACTTCTAATACTCTACTTTAACACAGTCTTTTCAGTAGTTTCGGAGATAATATACAGGCACGATATTTATATTATGCGTTAATATTATTAAATTTGCGTAAAAAATGTCTGTGGCAACTCAGGATTTCCGGTCTAACTCCACCCTGAAAATCTAGGTGTATGTAGGAAATGTGAAGAATGTTTTACAAAAGCAGACGGAATCTTTAAAAATCTTTAAGTTATACCAAACATTCTCATTTGTGAACATATAAAGTCCCTGTTAATGTAATTTATCTTTAACTAAAATCTGGATGAGTCAAATTGTGATTCAACTCCCAAATATCTATCAAAATACGTTACATTTCACTGACAAGTTCTCTAATTGTTACAAGCAGACAGATGGACGGACAAACATGGCGACCTAATGGGCACATGTTCCAGCTTTTCATAGCGAACGCTCGAGGCAGGAAGTGCCCAGAGCAGTGCGCCTGTAGGATATACTTCTCTGCTACGCTGCTGTGTTGGACGGGCTACTCTAATTTCCCAGTCCGCTGAACTCGAAGATTGTCGCCTTGAGATACATCGCGGTCTTTTACCCTGCAGCGACATTACCACCGGCGTGGACCTCGCCAGTGACTCGCCTTGTGAATCCTTTTCGTTGTCACAATGCGGTATTCGTAAAAACTTACAGGTTCTGTGTACCGGGCGTCCAAAAAAAACAATTCCGTCTCCCCCGTCAGTTGACATGTAAATTTACCGTCGAAACGTTGCCAAACTGTCCATACGTTTATTTTGACAACATCCAATGTATATATGTCGAAATTTAAATAACAGTTTCGAATCACATATTCTGTATACTTAGTATTGTTTTAAATTTATAATCGTTTATTTATACTAACATTATTATTTAATTATTTAACGACGGTTTTAATCGAAAGTTAATCTGTAGTCGATTATGAACGATTCTAGGGATATCGCAATAGTCTCGATGTTTAGTTTGGTGGCCATGTTCATCGTCTGATGCTATAAAGCACTACGTTTTGAGGACTGGGCTGGATCTGTCCTCGTCTTCAGGTGTAAAGAAAAGGGCATATACTCTGTCCAAAGACCAAACGATCCAGATTTAAAAACTCTTGCAGCCAATAGAATCGCTAGCAGAAGGAGCAGGACAGGAAGTTCGAGCTAATATAAATAAGCAGATATAGGCGCGGTTCTTCTTCTTCTTCTTCTTCTTCTTCAAACTTGCAGTCACGAAGAAATTCAGAGCATATTAAATTCATTCAGTGTGTACTAACACTTAGTCTTATGTATTCCTGTCTGTTACCTAAAAGAGTGCAAATTAAGACATACATTATTGTGGTTTTATCTGCTGTTTTGTATGAGTGTGAAATTTGGTATTAGTCAGTAACAAATTGAAGGTATTTGAAGTCAGAGTACTGAAGAGAGCGTATGCACGTTAAAATGACCGGGTGGAGGGTGGATAGCTAAGTAGGTTCGTGTAAGATTTGAGGTTTTCACAGCGGCGAGTATGATGATTTCTGTCTTCTGGGTTGTTGCGCTGTGTAGTCTGGTCGTTGTTTACTAACGTTTCAGAGGTAATACTGCCTCCTTCATCAGAGTATGAAGATTCTGTCTTCTGGGTTGTTGCGATGAATATCGCCCTGATGACGGAGGCAGTATGACCTCTGAAACGTTGGTTAACATCGACCAGACTACACAGCGCAATAACCCAGAAGACGAATATCTTCGAAATTTATTTTATTTGATTTTCAAGCGATACTCCAGCATTTCATGAAGGGACGGAATACAGTCGGTCTGCGAGCAGAAATTGCAACCCTAGATATCTCGAAGTCGAAGGAATGCTAATTACCCGTCGAAGGGAGAATTAGAAAATTTAAGATTTACATAAAATTCCATATTTTTACACCTTGTTTCTGAAGAGGTTGTAACAAATGAACTAGGAGACAAGAGAGGAAATCATAGATAATTGCACAAAACCAATGTTTTGTTTCCATATACGAATGCAAATGTTATATCATTTATCGCTCAATTACCAATTTCTGTAATAACGTTTACCAAACCAGTTTCAAACACTGTACAGCCAGTTATTTGTACACTTCCAACTGGAATTCAAACAGATGTGTCGTCCAGCGACTCGGGACTTGTTGAACAGGGTATGTGAGAATATACTTCCTGTTCATATGATTAGTTGTTAGGTTATTCAGTTTTGCTGTTTCAAATTTAGCATATCGTGGATACGAGCTACTAAATCGTGATTGCTACATGGGCTAAGATAAATATTTCAAATGACGAGGAAGTTTCATGTTTTATGGACTGCAGAGGAAATATCTTCAAAATTCTGAGGACAATCTCAGTCAGGATAGTCGGTAAAGGTAGCCGACATTCGACCCGGACAGACAAACCTCTCAGACGTCGGTAATCAGACTACACGGTGAACCAACCCAGGAGACAGCCATATTAACTTTACGATATGTTTTATGAGAACAAACAAGTTGAAGATGCTAATATATTGTATATTGTCCGGAAAGTCATGTAATTTGACTTACTATTTAAAATTTATTTGTTTTAAAGCTTTTGAACAGCACACCACGCGTACACG